GAGGAGGAGGAGGAGGAGGAGGAGGGTGTGATTCATAGTTGCAAAGAAAAGATAAAAAAATTTGGTGAAAAGATGTGTAGCGTTCAGCTCGAAATACTGCCCGAGTTTAATAGTTATGACTGGGAGTTTAGAGGAGCAAGCGCCTCCCTGACAGTTTGAGATGGGTGATAAGAGAGTTTAGGATCTGTGCTCTGATAACTACACACCAGGACACAAACGGCACACAAACAGGCACACACCCTCTTTGTCTAATCTTTGCAATTATTAGGGTGTCATGTTTGGAGAAAGAGAGAAAAGAGAGGCAAGGAGGAGGCGGAGGAGGAGGAGGAGGAGGAGGAGGAGGTGGGTAGTAAAAGAAGAAGAAGCAGCAGCAGAGACAGGCTGCTTCTCTCCCAGGCATCTACACCTCTCCCTGGGTACCCGCTCGCTCAGACGCCCCTAGAGTCTCCGGAGCTTCAGGTTTCCTCTGGGCTCTTAAGAAGGAGACACATTTTCATACTGGTACATCAGGGTAGCGTTTAAAAAAAAAAAAGAGGGGGAGGTTGTCCATGTGGGATTTAAGCTGAGGGACAGAGTCTACGCCATAGGGGAGGAAGGAGGGGAAGAATGTGTAATGGTTATTAATGACCGTGTCAGATCTGTGAAGAATGAGATTTACTCTCTTAACAGGACCCCGGGTTTGGCTTTATAGATTTTCTGTCTGTGGAGAATAGGGAGAATACAGTGCAGAAACTCACCTGATCCATTCATGTACACACACACACACACACACACACTTAGACATCTCACTGCCTTCTTTTTTTTTTTTAACCTCCCTCTCATTTTTCTTTGCTCTGTCTTATTCTATGATGCACACAAACATGAAAACGCACGCACGCACACGCTCGCTGGATGTGGCCTCCGTTACGCTACACTTTGTTCTGCACAAGCCGGGGCTCCCACGTGGTGAAGGCAGCCGTCTAGCTATGACAGCTTAGCGCAGCAAAGGCCCTCACCGGAAACCCAACCTGCACTCTGAGATGAATAGCTTCCTGGCCACACACACAAACACACACAGCCAAGATACACGCACACAGACTCACATGTACATGCAGTGTATGTGTCGGGTCCCACCCACGCAGATCTCTCACGGATAAGCTGCGCAGGTGTTTGTCTAGGCGAAGTAGATTTACTGCGGCGTTGTTTTATGCCACGAAAGTGACACAATTGTGAGTGTAATGAACAGCCTGTGTGGTGAGGAGGGATGGCTTTTATCAGGTAATGGTTTCAGGAATAACCAAACCTCGCTGTGTGTGTTTTTTCTCTCTCTCTGCCTGTGAAGCTCTCCTTGTCTTTTTATTTTTATTTTTAAAACTACATCACTGATTGATATCTTTTACCTTCCTCTTCCTGCAGCAGACGCCAACCATGACTCAGGGGCGGGGTCTCCGTCTCCGGAGCCATCCACCCCCAGCCCTCGGAGGGCGGGACCCGGGGAGCATGACCTGCTGACCTGCGGCCAGTGCCAGACCAACTTCCCTCTGGGTGATATCCTGGTTTTCATCGAGCACAAGCGCCGCATGTGCCGCGGGCCCGGCGGCGGTCCCGGCTCCTTTTCCAAGCCCGGGGAGGCCGGCGGGGTCATGGGCATCCCCATCTCTCCCAGGGCCAGGTTGATGGAGCTGGGGAGAGGGGCCATTCCGGTGGAAGTGGGCATCCAGGTGACCCCTGGAGGAGAAGAGGATGAGGAGAGGAGGCGGACGCCGGCCAAGGGGATCTGCCCCAAACAGGAGAGAGGAGGTACGGATACTGGAACACACTGAGCAATGCAATTAGGAGCACCGAGAAGCATCTCACACTTCTGAAGAGAGCTTTCTTGTCAGTATACATGCACACGTCTTACACATAGGTGCACTCACGCACTATCTCTCACCTGTCCAAGACAGATAGCTCTCTTTAAAGAATCCCAGCTGTTTGTTATTTTGACAGTGGCCTTCAGGAGGGATTAATGTAGCCTGGGATGATTTTATTAGAGTGAGTGAGAGCTGCACTGTGTGTCTATTCTGCTCCATTCTAAGTAAAACATCACACACATATACACACTAAATCACACACACACACACACACACACACTCGCAGGCCTGAAGGACTTCTTCAGCTGAAACCAATTGTGAAAGGCGAGGAAGAAGGTGATAGAGGAGCCGCCCCCAGAATGTGTGTGTGCGCGCGTGTGTTTTTTTATTTATTTTTTGTGCACATCACGTGTCTGAGCGTTTGTAAAGAAATCCTGCAGCATATGAAGAGGTTAAGAAAGCTGATTAAAATTCATCTGTGTGCGTGGTGAGGAGAAGGGGATTAATAAAGCAGCAAGGCCGCTCATCTGGCTATGAGGGGAAGAGGGATGGGAGGAGGGTGAGGTGGGTGAGGTGGTGGGAGGGAGGGAAGGAAGGAGGGAGGGAGGAGGACAAGGCCTGTAGACTGCCAGCGCTGCAGGGAACCCAATTCAAAGTTATCAGAGGAGACAGTCACCATCGCACCCAAGAGCTGGGAAAAGGCTATCCAGGATTACACAGACTCCAGTCGACTAGGAGGGAGCTGGTTAGAGGAGGGAAGATGGCTGCATTGTGGAAGTTTGCAGCCGGAATTACAAACGCGATTAGACCGTTAACACGGAAACTGGTCGCCATTGTGCTGCGCCGTTAAGTCATGGCGCGGCAAAGGCGACATAGGCGTCGATTTCAGGCCGGATGCGCCACGAAGAAAACGTCAAGAAGCAGAGGATTTAGAGAAATTGCTGTAACATTCTTCATAGCTGCATGCAGAAAAGGCACAAATCAGTGCATGAAAATTCACCAAAATGCAAGAAGTGAGGCCTAACATGTCACCCCTACTAAACACGTCAAACAAAACTTGTGAAAGTGGAAGTTTTTACACTACAAATATGTAATATTTATATCAGATTGGCTGAGTTGTGTTAGATTATATCACAGCACATGTGGACAGAGACACACTTTAATCAGAGCTGTAATAACAATCAAATCATGTGAAAGGTTCTTACACAACTGCCGCGACACGCCCAGAAATAACTGGGTGGTTGTACTGGTTTATTATATATTTACGTATGCGAAAGGTGTGAATTTGAAGTTATCATGACAACAGGATGCGGCTTTTTGGGTTCGCATTGGTGCACAGCGTTTTGTTTCCCAGTTGAGTGGCTGAAATCAGAATTTTTTTTTTTCTTTGTTTGATACAAAACCTGTGACCAGATAACAAACCAGGTCAGAATGCGTCAGGGGTTGTTTCGATCTGGTGCAAGTGTTTGCTCATTCCCACGATTGTAGCGCGCCGAGCTAGGCTATGAGATACTGCAAAAGTATTATGGATTTGAACATTGTGTTCACTTTAGAATCAAAGCCGGTGAAGACGTCTTTTGTCATCGCTGCAGAAAATCAGTTCACATTGCACGGTTTCTGTGTGTGGCCAGCAGCTGTGTGTGGCCACCATCTTGCGCGGTGGGAAGTATCTATTGAAGGAGATCACAAACAATATGTGACAGCACCGCTTTGGATGTCACTGTTCATTTTAGAAAATAAAAACATGGCTGGTGTTTTGCAGAGTATTTTTTCAAGTTGTTCTTTATTTTATTCCCAGCAGAACAAAAAACATATTGATTCTAAAAGTAAGCATCAGTCAATAATAATGTGGCTTTTGTTAATTGTCTAATTTTTCAGATTTAATGAGCAGCTTTTAATAGCAGCACAGATGAAAAAAAAAAAAAACTCATTTGGAACCTTTGCAAAAAATAAAAACAGACATTTTACGTTTCAATTTGTCTGTTAGGTGGTCAGAGGGAAGCGTTTAGTTAGTGAGTGAGTCAGCCTGTTTGAGCAGCAGTCAGTTAGTCATTCAGACACACTGTCTTATCACTAAGAGAACAGGACATGAAAGCACTCGAAGCCCCAAATGAAAGCGAGGAGGAGAGCTTTGTTCAACACATTAGATTGCCACTCAAGGCAGTCTCAAGTTTCAACCAAATTAGATTACATTATTAGGTCTAATTAAGTCCAATGTGTTAGCAGCACTCACACTCACAGACGCACGCGCGTTCAAAGGCGAAATGTTGCTCGCCTGTGATTTCGAAGGAACTTTTGGAGCGTGTTTGCAGCGCAGGTGAAGAAAAACACAAGAATGTGCATCAAACTGGCACAAATTTTGCACATATGCACGGAATGCTTGTACTGTAACAAATGCTTAACCCTCTCCTCCCCTGGATTCTTTTTTTTTTTCTCTTTTCCTTCACCTGGCTGTGTGTTTTATAACATCCTGTCTGGCCTCTTTGTCTGTCAGCCTGCTTGCTTAAACTGCAAACATGCTGCAAGGCTAGCAGATTCAACCCCAAAAGGTGCAAACACACTCACACAAACACGCCAGCGCGCACACTCCTTTGTACACACGGCGTAGATGAAAAATGGCCCTTCTGTGCCCTGTTTTTTTTTTTTTCTTTTTTCTTCTCCCTCCCTGACTTTCTCTTGCTGATGCATGCACTATTTGTGTATATTTGCGGGCTTTGTCAGAGTATGTTAATGTATACGTGTGTGCCTTGTGTGAGTTTGTGTCGTGAAGAATGATGCGTGTCATCAGGCGAGCGAGGGGTTGTCGCTAGGGGAGCGTTACCACACTGAGGCGACCCTGGCCCTGCTTTGAACTCCTCCCAGGACGCCTGTCGGGCCCCCTCGGAGCACTTTAAGACATTCAGTACATACGGGGCGAAGTCGCATCATGACAGCCACTCTCTCCGTCTCTTTCTGTCTCATTCTCACAAACACAGTATATGGAGATCACACGGTAAATATTTCATGAGTTGATGTGAACGACAGCGACATCCTCAAACATCTCTCTCGGCTTCTCCCTCCGTCCACTTCTGATCTCCCTGTTGTCACTTTCTGTGGGCCTAAAAACGCTGCTTCTTTGTTTTTTCTCTCTTTTTTTTTGGTGTGGGGGGGTGCTGAGAGCCGCTCAATGCGATACCGATACTGGTGCTTCTAACTGAACCAAAAAGCGGATCAAAGGATTCAAACCCGCCACTTTAGAACTGTCACACCTCGATGTAAAGAATTTCTTGCGGGTGTGAAAGTGTGTGAAGGAGCGTTTTTTTAAAAAAAAAACATGATAAGATCAGTTTTTCATTCTTGAGCTAATGGGCAGCGAGGGAATTTTTTCTCTCTCTCTTTCACCTTAAATGAGTCAGGGTGGTTTCTGGATGAAAATCCGTGTTGCAAAAAGTGATAATGACCTTTGTGCACAAGCAGGTCAAATCTGCAGACACTTGCTGCCTCTAAATAACTGTGACATCCCTGCTTCCACACCTCTCCATCAGTATGGATTTGAAGGTGTCCCTATCCTCTCTTCTTCTTCTTCCTCCCTCCCCCAGCAACTACCCCCCCCCCACCACCCTTTTTTTTTTTTTTTTTGCCCCACCACCCAATGCTCCTTTAATCACCTGGCTTGCTCTCATTTCCATATTAAATAGGCTTTAATCATGAAAAGCAATCAGGCTTTTGCATATTCATACCTTCCCCTGTACGCCGGCTTCCCTGTCTCGCTCCAGTGCCAAGCAGCCAGTAATCAGTAGGCAGGCGGCGTAATGCCATAGCCCCGGCCCATCGCATGAAAACACACACACTGCGTGAGTTAGAAATAACTTCACATGCTACTTACGTATTATCTCTACTCCAAGAGAGAGAGAGAGAGAGAGAGAGATAGAGGCAGAGGGAGAGGGGTAAGAGATAAAAAAAGAAAGATGGCGAGACTGATCCCTGATTTGAGCTGCGAATATTTGTACAGAGGCTCAAGGAAAAGTCGATTTGCATAATGACTTTGTAGTTTTGCATTAATCACATTTGCATATGAAAATGCGTTAATTACTCCTGATGATTTTTTTTTTAAAACTTGCTTCATTTGATGTCCAAGCTCTGGGGTTGTGATTAGGGGTCACATGGTGGGAGTTGTGTAGGTAGCAGTGTGCACACTTTTTGTGTGTGTGTGTGTGTGTGTGCAAGTGTGTCTTCTGCTGCAGCCTGTGTGTGTGTGTGTTTATGAGCTCTTACATGAGTGTTTTGAATGCTTGCCAGGGAATTTATCTTGTGTCTGCTGTTAGGCATGTGTGTCTATTTTCATTTTCCAGTTTGTGTGTGCGCGAGTTTCCCAGTTTCAGTGAGTGGCAAATATTTTGTTATTCCTCTGTGGGAGGGGGAAAAAAAAAGAAAAAAAAAGGAGGCGTACACTCCCGCCTTCGTTTAAATACACAACATTTTTTTTTGACAAGATGAAGACACACTTTTAGAGATTTGGATTCTAGATTGTGTGAATTGATCCTTTCTCCTAGTGAAATGCAACACACAGATGTGGCTGAATTGGATGTTTGAAGCGTTTCTTTGCAATTAAAAGACGTGTTTAAATACAAAATGCATCCCAGTACATATATGAGCATTTAGTCCTACTTTGTGCATTTTGTTTGCATGCATGTAATTGCATGTGCTTTTGCAAAAATGCTCCAGTCAAATCAGCAACTAGGAATCCCCCCCTCCCTGCCCAGCCACTTGTAGGCAGTTGCAGGCTGAATGTAAAATGAATGAGTTTATTGTGTCGCATTTTCTAAACTTGATGCTTATGTTGTGCTGTGTTTCCGAGGGTTTTCACATTAATGGTGAACTTGTGGAAGCACAGCTCCAGAACGTTTTTGCTTAAAAATTAAATCATCTGTGGTCATTAATTTGCCATTTCTGTGTCTCTGTGTGAGC